TTTCCTAGACACCCCAGGGGTGTCTAGGCACCCTAGGTACTCCCATTGCCTATAAATAGCCACCCAAGGACTTATTTTTGGGGATCTGGATTTTTGGAGAGTTGGCGAAGCCCTGCTGCAGTGAAGAGTGGTCGAGCGCTTCAACACAAGAGAGGTCTTCATCAGATTTGCATCACCCGTGTCCGTTCCTTAGCATTACCCTTCGCCGGTAATCCTAAGAAGAGCAAATATCTCGCTTTAGCCGAGATAGGCGCTTCAAGCTTCTAGATCTCCTTGCGGATCGACGAAGCTCTGCCCAATTTTTCTGGATCAGATCTGATTGCCAGGTAGTCCACGGATATCGACGTCCCCGTCACAGGCCAAAGACCCACGCAAGCAAGAGACGATAAACGGATCTTGCGTTTATTTTCAAGAAAGTTGTAATTTTTTATTTTCATTATTTAAATTCATTTGTAAACGTTTGAAGTTCTAATGAAATCGATGATGAAGGCAACTTTCGACGAAATTAGGATCGACACCGTGGAAGTCGGGGTTTGTGAAGACTGCATCTTTGGGAAGCAGAAGAGGGTTAATTTTTAGAAGGGTGGAAGACCACCTAAGGCTCAGAAGCTAGATTTGATTCATACAGATGTATGGGGCCCAGCCAGTGTGTCTTCTTTTGACGGTTCGAGATACTACGTCACCTTTATCGACGATCACTCGAGGAAGGTGTGGGTTTACTTCATGAAGCACAAGTCAGAGGTATTCAAGATCTTCAAGAAGTGGAAGGCCATGGTCGAGAACGAGACAGATCTGAAGGTGAAGTGCTTGAGATCAGATAATGGTGGAGAATACGAGCTGGAGGAGTTCAAGAGGTTCTGTGCTACGAATGAGATTCGTTTAGAGAGGACTACTCCAGGGACGCCGCAGCAGAACGGCATTGCAGAGAGGATGAACAGGACCTTGACAGAGCGTGCGCGGAGCATGCGATTACATGCAGGTCTGCCTAAGACATTTTGGACGGATGCGGTGCATACGGCAGCATACCTTATTAATCACGGGCCATCAGTTCCATTAGATTTTGGGATTCCAGAGGAGGTTTGGAGTGGAAAGAAGATAAATCTCTCACACTTGCGGGTATTTGGTTGCGTGGCTTATGTTCATATCAGTGACCATGTCAGCGACAAGCTAGAAGCTAAGTCACAGAAGTGCACATTCATTGGATACGGCATTGATGAGTTCGGGTATCGCCTTTGGGATGAGAAGAACAGGAAGATCATCAGGAGCCGGGATGTGATATTCAATGAGGAGGTGATGTACAAGGACAGGGACAATGCCAAGGATAGCCAAAGCAGAGTCACAGAAGTGCACATTCATTGGATACAGCATTGATGAGTTCGGGTATCGCCTTTGGGATGAGAAGAACAGGAAGATCATCAGGAGCCGGGATGTGATATTCAATGAGGAGGTGATGTATAAGGACAGGGACAAAGCCAAGGATAGCCAAAGCAGTGGGAGCAACACTACGGATACAGGTGGATCCGAGTACATGGATTTGGAGGAACTTCCAGATGGGGGCGACGATGTCAGTTCTGACCGTAGAACGGAGGAGACTACAGGTGCAGAAGCTACTACCCAGGGCGTGGAGCCTAGGAGGTCATCTAGGGTACCCAAACCAAATCCCAAATACCTCTCGTCACTTGATTATCTACTCTTAACAGATAGCGGAGAGCCGGAGTGTTATGAAGAGGCAGTGCAAGTGAGTGAATCTCAGCAGTGGGAGCATGCGATGCAGGAGGAGATGGATTCTCTACTCACTAATGAGACATGGGAGTTAGCCCAGCTACCTGCACAAAAGAAAGCCTTGCATAATAAATGGGTCTACCGGGTCAAGCAGGAGAGTGATAGAAGCAAGAGATTCAAGGCCAGATTAGTAGTGAAAGGGTTTCAACAGCGGGAAGGAGTGGATTGCACGGAGATATTTTCCCCTGTTGTGAAACTCACAACCATCAGAGTGGTGTTGAGTTTGGTAGCTGCAGAAGAGCTCTTCCTTGAGCAGTTAGATGTGAAGACTGTCTTTCTTCATGGTGACTTAGATGAAGAAATCTACATGAAGCAGCCTGTTGGCTTCATTGAAGAAGGAAAGGAAGAGATGGTGTGCAAGCTCAAGAAGAGCTTATATGGTTTGAAACAGGCTCCGAGACAGTGGTATAAGAAGTTTGATAACTTCATGCAGAACAATGGCTATAGAAGATGCAATTCGGATAATTGTTATTATTTCAAAAAGTTCGAGTCCAGCTTTATTATTTGGTTATTATATGTTGATGACATGTTGGTAGCAGGACCGTGTTTAGAAGAGATAAACAGTTTGAAGAGACAGCTAGCAAAAGAATTTGCAATGAAGGATCTGGGTACAGCGAAGCAGATTCTAGGGATGCGAATCAGTAGGGATGAAGCTGAAGGGACATTGAGATTGAGCCAAGCTGAATACATTGAGAAGGTACTTCAGAGGTTCAACATGCAGAATGCTAAAGTTGTTAGCACACCCCTTGGAAGTCAGTTCAAGTTATCTGAGGAGCAATCGCCTAAGACAGATGCAGATAGAGAGCATATGAGCAGGGTGCCATATTCTTCAGCCATTGGGAGTCTCATGTACGCGATGGTTTGCACGAGGCCGGACATCGCCCATGCAGTGGGAGTTGTGAGCAGATTTGCAAGCAATCCAGGAAAGCAGCATTGGGAGGCCGTAAAGTGGATAATGCGGTACTTGAGGGGAACAACGAACAAGCCACTATGTTTCAGGAGGAAGGAGTTGGTGCTGCAGGGATACGTGGATGCGGACTTCGCCGGTGATCATGATACGAGGCGAAGCACCACGGGGTATGTTTATACCTTAGCGTCGACAGCAGTGAGCTGGGTCTCACGTCTGCAGAAGATTGTGACTTTGTCTACAACCGAGGCTGAGTATGTCGCGGTGACTGAAGCAAGCAAGGAGATGATCTGGTTGAACGGGTGCTTGGAAGAGTTGGATCTGAAGCAAGGGAGAGGAGTTCTTTATTGTGATAGCCAGAGCGCTATACATCTTGCTAAGAATCCAGTATATCATGCCAGAACGAAGTACATCGATGTCAAATACCATTTTATACGCTCGCTGATCGAGGACGAAAAGTTGCATTTAATGAAGATTTTGGGGAGTCAAAATCCGACGGACATGTTGACGAAGGTAGTCACCATTGAGAAACTGGAGTTGTGCGCAACTTCAGTTGGCCTTCACGAGTAGAAGACGAAGGCGGAGCCACACTACGAGGATCGGCGCGATCGTCGGGATGTTGATTGAAGAAAGAATTTTTCGGGGGAAAAGATACATGCGAAGAAGGGGAGAGTTCGGGTGAGCTCGTTGATGACGCTTTGGTCTCCAAGTGGGAGATTGTTAGTCTAAGTGTGTAGACCCAAAGCTGCAATCGAAAAGACGAAGAAAACAGTCAGAAGACTGTGCGGTCGACCGTAGTGGCGACCCGGTCGGTCGACCGCGAACGTGCACAGGGGGCTGGGAGAGCCTGGATCAGGTCGCGGTTGACCGGGCCGGTCGACCGCCAAAACCCTGTAAGTATTTTGGTCTCGGGTCTTGCCATCGGTCGACCGGGCCGGTTGATCGCCAAACTCTCGAGAATCTGATCGGTCGACCGGGCCGGTCGACCGCGAATAGTTTTGGCAGTTTTCTATTCTGTTTAGGAATCTGTTTCAACCAGGATTCTATATATACCCCAAACGATTTTAGGGTTTGTACTACATCAAAGAGAGAGCTTTTTTTGACTACAAAAAGAGAGAGAATCTCAGAGAGATTAACCCCTTGTTTGAGAGCTTGTATTTTCTTCTTCAATTAATAAAAAGATTGTGTGGTGTGGCTCCCGAGGACGTAGGCACGTTGCCGAACCTCGTTAAATCTGTGTGTTCATCTCCCTTACTGTTTTTTGCAAGTTAGATCTTTATTTGTGATTTTATTCCTACTTTCCTACTTTCAACACAAGGTCCGGAAGGGCAAGGGTTCGATTGATTGTTTCGAATCCCCAACAATGTAGACTCAAAGCTGGAATCAAACAAATTGTTGGATAGCAGATTTCCTAATCTGTTTTGGTAACACGATTCTTAATCCGTTTTAGTAACATGATTCTTAATCTGTTTTGGTAACAGGCTATTAGGATTTCTAATCTGTTTTATTTTTTGGTTTTAGAATTCCTAGTCTGTTTTGGTTTTAGGTTTTCTATATATATGAAACGTCTTAGAAGAGATTAGACATCAAAAAATAGGGTTTTAAGAGAATTTTTCAGAGAGATCTCAGAGAGATTAGATCCTATTTATGGGCATTGTAATCTTTTTCAATATTAATCAAAGATTTGTGTGGTGTGGCTCCAGAGAATGTAGGCACGATAGCTGAACCTCGTTAAATCTGGTGTATTCTTTTTTGTTTACTTTCCTGTAAGTTTTTTTTATCTTGGCATCGAATCTTATTCAAAGGTGACCACCATTTCATTCTCTTGGCATCGATTCTTCTTCCATCTGTTTGGTTGGCCAAAAAAAATAAGGAAATCTATTATAAGAAATCTATTTTCTATAATAGGTTTTTTCCTTGTGTTTGGTTTATTCTTAAAACTAATAAAAGAGATGAGATGAGATGAGCTGTCATTATATTATTGGATGATGTGACTTATATTTAGGAAAACTCATTTCATGATTTTTTTTGTGTGGAAATGGATGGAAATCAAATTTTAATGAGATGAGATGAGTTGTTAATATATTATTGGATGATGTGACTCATTTTTAAAGATAAGATAAGATGAGATGAGATAAGATGGATGATGTGACCCATTTCTTGTGTTTGATTCATTCTTAAAGTAAGAAAGGAGATGAGATGAAATGAGTTGTCATCATATTATTGGATGATGTGGGTGATTTTTAAGGATGTAAATGGATGGAAATCAACTCTTAATGATTTCCGGTGTACTATTTCCTTTTCTTTGATTTTAGGAAACCAACTAAACAACAGCATTGACATGTATACTTTAATTAATATACAGTTTTTTTTTTATTCCAAAATGGATCCCTTTAGCATTGACATGTATACTTTAATTAATATACAGTTTAATTAATAGTTACTTGTGCGAAGTTGGATCCCTTCGAGCAGGATGATCTCATTCTTCGAATGGGAAGTTTTGTTTAGTTACTATGTATATGTTTTTAATTTTTTTTATTAGTGACATAGATTGCTTAAGCAGAGAGGATTCAATTGTTTGCAGAATGTCAATGCAACCTATCCAATTGTGTCTTTTCTAATGAATATCAACTATGTAGAAAGGGACTCATACTTCAGGCTAAGCACAGTTTCGTTTAGTTAAATTGACATGTATACTTTAATTTATAGTTACTCGTTGGATCCCTTCGAGCAGGATGAATCATTCTTCGAATGGGAAGTTTCGTTTAGTTACTATGTATATGTTTTTAATTTTTTTTATTAGTGACACAGATTGCTTCAGCAGGGAGGATTTAATTATTTGCATAATTAATGTCAATGCAACCTATCCAATTGTGTCTTTTCTAATGAATATCAACTATGTAGAAAGGGACTCATACTTCAGCTAAGCACAGTTTCGTTTAGTTAAATTGACATGTGTACTTTAATTTATAGGGACGATGTTTAGTGACATAGATTGCTTAAGCAGAGAGGATTCAATTGTTTGCAGAATGTCAATGCAACCTATCCAATTGTGTCTTTTCTAATGAATATCAACTATGTAGAAAGGGACTCATACTTCAGCTAAGCACAGTTTCGTTTAGTTAAATTGACATGTGTACTTTAATTTATAGGGACGATGTTTTTGATGGACAAGTAGGCTTCATTTTGTAAGTAGGCTAGGATGCTTGTACAGGCTTACGTAGTTCTCAGAACATCAATTAAAGCTGCCAATTATATGTTGTGTTTTGTCATTAACCTAGGCCTTTTCACTACATTGTATTTAAATGCTTACTCTTCGAAGGGGCATATAGTTTTGGTTCAAAATACAAATATGAAGTATGCATAATATTCTAGACGTTACACAAATACTGACAAAGTCCTAGCACGAGGAGTTTCATTACCAAGTAGGCTCAGTCTTATTAGCAAGTTGTAATTGCTTGCGCATGGCGTGCAAATCGTTCTCAGATTACATTGTCAATGCAATCCGATTCTCTTCAGTTATGTATATCCTTTTTGTTTAGTTTTGATTGGATATAGTTATGTATATCTTGACTACTTCTCTAAGATAGCAATTGGATGCAAGTAAAATTGTAACCTAGGTTCATAATTTAACATGACATGAATATGTATTCAAGTCTTATCTCCTCAAGACTCACTATATATATATAGTGCTATCTACTAAGTAAATTCACCAGACCATCAAACTGAGAGCTTTAAGAACAACAGCTAGCAAGAGGAAGCAACAAGTCATTAAGAAATAAAATGGCGAATGTTGAGGCTATCTTTGAGCAAGCTGAACTCATATCTGCGGAAGACCTTCATCAACTATTTGTTCAAAGCAAGCCGTTAACCAACAACAGTGGAATGGTGAGCCTCATATTCACTACTCATTTACACATGCACCGCGTTTCTATCCATTATAGATATTAGTCTTCTTGGATTAATTTTGTTATAACTTGGTAATCTCACTTATTGTTTCTCTATATTTGTTCATGAATTTAGAGAATTTTAAAAGAGGATTCCTCCGGCTACAAAAGCTTGATGATGTATGCAAGAAGCCTTTCAGTTACATGGGGCAATGACCCGAGATACTGGAGGTGGCTTTCGTTAGAAAAGTAAGATAATAATTATGAGTATAGTTAACATATTATTGAGATAACAACCTACTTTTCTTCCTTTTTGTTTGCACAAAGAACCCTTTCTGTAATTTTATGCTACATTTCATATGCATGAGGTTGAGAATCAAATTAGTACGGAAGTTTTAACTGTCATTTTATCTAATATTTCTGATGTGGGATTATACTGACACGTGAATCCGATCGAACACTTGCAGCGATATAGACGTGGAAGTTGCGCAACTATTAGACGTATGCTGGCTCGAAGTGAGAGGAAACACTCCAATGAAGAACTTAGAAGCAGGGCAAAAGTACGAAGTGATGTTTGTGTTGATGTTTCTTGATCCATCAGGGTTAGAGCCCAAAGCAACATTCCAACTTGTAGCGAATGGTGAGACATGGGAGAGGAAGCTGAGCCTTCAAAACCTTCAACCAAAGCAATGGGTGAAGGTGAAGATTGGCGAGTTTGTTGCTAAAGAAGATGGTGGTGATGTTATCTTCTCCCTTACGAACTATGAAGAACTCAATTGGAAGAGAGGGCTCATTGTTGAAGGTGTTCTTATTGAACAGCGTGTTTGAGGGTAAATGCTAAATATATAGCCAATTCAGCACTTTATCCTTACGTATGTGTGAAAATAAAAGAGAGGAAGGTTATTCCTTTCTAAGTTTGCAAGTGTGTGCTCGTAATTTTCAGCGAAAAAAATAACATGTTAATTTGTAGTGTGTTTAAAAGCATTGTAATGGGTCAGTAGATTCTCAGAATAAAGTTCAATGTGTGCTTTCTTTCTGTCTTGTTGTCTTTTCATTGGAGT